GCCTGTCTCAGCCATTTCCTTTAGCTGCCGCGTCATCCAAGTCAACGGGATGTTGGGCTTCATCGACGGCTTGCGTTTTATCGTACCTGAAACACACGTAAGGTTATTTTAGATTTTGTTGCAATAGCTTTTACATTAATTCAGTAATCAAATAATATTTGTATTCATAGTATAGTGTAGAATTTAATCTCGCATTTCAAGTTGCAGTAAGACTGAAATTGCAACTGTATATTTTCACAAATTATTAAACTCCTTGTGTATCCACTATCGTTACATGTACAACGCTTATACTTGTTTTATTTCAAAATGTATTTGTTCTTACCCATAGGAAACTCGCAGTCGAAGGCGGTCTCTGAGGCAGCGCCACCGTCTGATAAACAACCACTGGAGCTGGACGAAGACGCCCGAGATTGTCTGTAAACCACATGAACACTTAGCAAATAATACAAAATAATGCGCATATAATTGTTATCGCTTCAACAAATATATTACACTAGCTGTTCTGTTATTGTTGAAAAAAAAAATGATAGTAGCCAATGTGTTCTACCAGCCTATGTTTGTGCCAAATTTCATCAAGATTCAATTAGCTGTTATAAAATTATGTGGTAATTAACATCCATCCATCCGTTCATTTACATTAGTAAACAGTAGGATATGAACAGCAACCACTGTCTATGGCTTGTAAATGAAAATCGTAAATCAGTTTCCAGCGATATCATACTTTTTTTTTAATTTTTGAAGCACAGCTTTATTGGAAATTGTTTTAATTTTATTGTCCTTTTATGTAAGTGGCTCATACCACAGATCAATTACCATGTAATAATACTGAAAATGCATTTTAATTTCGCGTGGAATTTAGCCTGGGGAAGCTAAAATATTCTTAAATTAGATTGACAAATATTGAATAAGAATTTCGCTTTATGCAGCATTAAAGTTACGCTTTGCTTTATATTACACAAATTCGCATTTCCCTATTAAAAAACACGTACAAAAACAATAAATTATAATATACAATATGAAAAAAATCAGTAAATAACAAAGGCAAAAAAGTCCAAAATATTAACTATGGTAATTATTTTATTAAAAGATTAAAAAACTATAGTTTTATTAATATGATTTAAAACATGACTTTGGTGCTTTTGTTATTATATTTTATTAACGGCAACACTTACCGGCCACTGCTGATATCAGAGTTGGCAACACTAGCGTTACTGGATGCACTGGACTGCGCAGTACTGCTTACTCCGCTCTTCATCGGGATTGATGATATCTAGAATAATATATGCGTTTATTACATAGTATTGTTTACTGATAATTCCAAAAAATTTTAATTGTCGGCTGATATTTGAAGTTTTTTGATACTTACGGAGCAAGATCGGGCATGTGCTAAATGATCGAGATCTTCTTGGGTTAGTTCTTCAACCAGTGTGCGGTAATTCTCCAACAGTTGCCGGCCATGCTGTAATATAATATATTCGTAAATCATTTAAACCAGAAAACATCCATCCATCCAAACTAGACTAGCTATTGACCGTGACCGAGTTCGCGCGAAATCAAAAAAAATATTACAGATTTTCTACACTATGTTCTGCATTTAAGTCAATTTTCATCTAATCTCGTTTAGCCATTTTCATGATATGAAGTAAAAAACATCCATAAAAAATATCCATTTTTTATGTTAACCCAATTATATTACAGACAACTTTGTACTTTATTATAACATAACTTTGAATTCATTTTCCTTTGAGTGTTGTCAATAGTTTGTTTACCTTAGCTATACGCATGGCGGTCAACCATCTCTCGAGGGTCCCCGCATCATCAGCGCAAAGGAACTTGATGAATTTTACGCTCTTAGGCTGCTGCAGCCGAGGATGCTTGATAGCAAAGCAATGTTCAGTTGGTGCCTTGTACTTCTTTCTCCAGTTCAAGCCGACATACACCTCATTTGTATCGAATGTTGCCAAGCAGACTAATTCTTTTAATGTCTTCACTTTGTCCTTCGGTGAATAGTATAAACCTACAATGTTAATATCAAATGTTGAAATTTGTAGACATATTCAATTTTAAGCGCCAATAGCTTAATGATGTACGGACTACCGATCTTGAGTTCGAGGGTTCGAAGCTATTCGATTGTCGTGAATCATATCAAAGCTTAGATAGAATAGTTAAAGGAAATATTAGTAAATTAATAAAAATCTACTAATATTTTGAAAAAAACAAAAAAAATTATATCAAATGTGATTAATTTTGAAAATTACTTATTGATTTTTATATATTCATAATTTAATTTACTGTAAATTTTATATGAAACAATGGAAATAAAAGATAGATAAAGTGCTTACAAAATATATCACAAGTATATACTAGAATATTTAATAAATTATATTCACTATAAATAATATCTTGATTAATCACATTTGCATGTATAAAATACAGTCCAATTTACAAAACACAGTATTCAATATATTATTAATTTATTTAGATTTAGATTCAATTACAAATCGCCAAGAGTCTGTTGACCATTTGTTTTATTACATGTTTATCCAACAAAAGAGTTATCAAACAAACAAGTCGCATAAAAACAATAGAAATTAATGTGACTTATCGTTATTCAATACCTTTTTGATTTATTAACGAGCCTTTGAATGCATAATTTTCATATTTAATATAAACAAAGCTAAGTAATATAATTAAAATTTAAACTCTTGCATGGATAAGTTTAATATTTGCATTTTAATTATACTTTTGTACTATCAGTTTCTTTCAAGGCAATCAATATTCTTCTACCAGAATTAACATTAACCACAAATTGTAATTATCTTTTAGTTGGTATAACTGTAATTGTTAATCTCTTGTTTATCAATAAAATTATTTCTATTTTCTAAATACGATAATTATTTGATTTATTTTGTAATAGCACAGCATAATATTATAGAACATTTCCGCCAGCGCATTGCGATCCTAAATTCGCTTATACAATACATAAACACATTTAATACATAAAAAAATACTTCTAAATTACTTATATATTTTTTATCTCATCAGAAGAAAAGAGTTTTTAATAAAATAAAATTTAAATGTAACTTTTTTCTTTTGATAATCGTAATTATTGTAACTACGCAAGCTTCTTACCTGATGGTCGAAGAACGAATCTGTACTTCTTCCATTCTTTCTTCGTATCACTCTTTAAGTACAGCATGCCTTCCATCTGGGGCACAGGGTTTCCTGACACCGAGGGTGTGGAGGTGCCTCCACTCTGCCCGAAGAATTCCTCGAGTATCACCTGCCTTGAGTGGTCATCATGCTCCACAGAACGAACTGTAAAATACATGTACTACTATGAAGGAACACATAGAATAAACATATACCAGAGGGAATTCAAAGAATATGAAGTCAATGACCATCTAATTAAGGAGGCCAAGGCATTATTACCTCTGTCATCTTCACTGAGTAGGAACTTCTCTGGACTCTGGAATAGAGCTATCTTTTCCGGTCTCTCCGCGAATAAGATTTTATTCTTTGACTCTCGTGTCCACAGCATCAAGTTGTCTACAAGCATTTCATGATCTTCATACACCCGCTCTGTAAAAATAAATATTAATGAAATAATGTGTTGAAAAAATCAGATGGAGTAAGTTTGAGAAACGGATAAAATAAAGCATTTACCCATGTGTAAATCAGGCAAATGTTCAATGATGGCCCACTTTGGTTCCATGGTGACATGGTTCTTGTCTGCCAGCAGACGGGTGACACAGCCGCAGTTCATCTTCTCATCAATCAGGAGACTCTTGGATGAACCATCGCTGGAGAAGGCCTTGATGAAGAGCTTCTTGACGCTGGCTTCGCGCATACGTTCCAATGCAAGCATAATCTTGTCCGCCTTCTGTAACAAATACCAAAGATATAATGTGTGTAAGATTTTTAGTAAAAGGTGGCAAAATAATTGGCCACCAGAGACCATTTTAATAGAACAGAAAGAGCATATTTCTCTTTGCTCTGCCTACCCTTCTTCACCAAATCGACTTCCCGTTTACATAACGGATTAAAATCGTAACTTAGGTACGGAATATACGCTAAATGTTTTTAATTTGACGCCTGTGTTGTGTTTGAGATATATCACCAGTCGGGTCGGGACATTCGTGCCAAAATATTAAAGGGCTTGAGCACTTTTTAGACAATTTTAGTATTATTACTAGGTAAAAGTCTATTTTCTTTTTGAATGCTATACTAACGTTACATAAATTCCTTATCTAAACCAATCTTAGTTATTAATAGTAGTTATATTTTATCTGTATACATAATTAATGATTACATAAATGTCATGGGTATAGTTAGTGAACACGACCTCACTAAAATGACTTATAGGTCACATATAGTCGTTACTCTCGACTTCGCCCGCATCTTAATATTAATTTTTATTAAGCAGCTTGTACACAGTTCATTCTATTGGGGGGTGTCTCTGCCTATTAAAAAATAGCTTAGTAAAATGTGGAATCTTAAAAAAAGAACTTAATTATAATAACTAGCTGTTGCTCGCGTCTTCGTCCGCGTGGATTAAAAATTAATTAAAAACATATCCTTCTTTTTATTGTTGCTTACAGATAAGTAACCTTTCTAACGGTGAAAGAATTTTTAAAATCGGCCTACTATTTTTCGAGTACGTATATATAGTACATACAAATTTAAACAATCTGAAATTAATAATTCTATCCATCTTCACCAAGCTCGAATCAACCCTAAATTAGGGGAGATAGCCAAGCTGACGAGTATGACATCAGACCTCTTACCTTCTGATTGTGGTGAAGATTTAACTTCAAGGCTTTGCATTTAGCGCTGTTACTGCTTGAAGCTGAAGACTCACTCGACAACATTGACACCTGATAAACAAAACATTCATTACATCATAATACTAGACGTTACCCGCGACAGCGTCCGCGCGGAATTGTAAAAAAAAAAGTGCCAATTTGAACGAGATTTATTGAGCCTTTCTTAAGATGTCATTTGACAAACAAACATTCATCCATTTTTTGTATCTATAATGTTAGTAAGATTGCAGATTTCGTTCAAAATCCGTTTTCATTTACCAGTAGTAAACATACTCATAGATTCGTAGATTGTTGGAGACATGAAAGGTAGTTTTAGAAAGCGGCGCTGGAAATGGTACAAAAAGGGGCTTACGGTGTCACTAAATGCGGAATCATTGTCGGGCGAGTCAGTCCTGGCGACCGCCCTCGGCTCGGCGCCTCCCTCGCCGCCCTCCTTGCTGCCCTCAGCCCGTGCCACGCACCTCTCCCCTACAACCCCATCGCCTTCCACCCTCTGTTTTGGCATCGACGTGTATTCTAAAAGGGGTGAATGATTAAAAATGTTAATGAATGTTTGAATAGTTTATTCAAGTTTTAATGTAAGGATAATCTTATTACTTCATATTTGTTTTATTTTTAAATTACACTTAATATACGTAAGAGTATTTTGCGGTGTAAAGATGTAAACTCAAGTTTCAAAACTTACGTTCTGACATTTAACATGGCTGAATAATCGTTCGTTTTAATATTTTCTTTATTAAATGACAAAAGCTCGAGGCTTATCGAATCGTGTTCTGTTACAGTCAGTTTCGTAAACATGACCTTCGTGAAACGACCGTCCTAAATCCTTCAGACTGCATAAAATATTAAAATGTATCTTTATAATCTACCTTCACTTGTCTGGATTAAACTTATGTATGAAACTTGTTAAGTTCAAAGGGAATATAAACTACTCGTATAATAGTTGTAACTCGCGACTTCACGAGTAAATTAAATTTTTTTAATTATAAATATATAACTTTAAACTGTCGTGGTTTTTACAAATATAATGCCGGGAGCTAAAACAATTCAATCGTGGTAAGAACCCCGTATCTTACGAACATTATATAAATTATAAATAGTCCAGATTTTTAAGGAAACAAAACATCATCTAGATCTACATAAAATAAAATTGGAGTGTCTGTCTGTAATATTGAAAGATAAATTACAGATTCTAGGAAGATGTAATTACGTTGCTGATAACGAAAATCGCATTAAAATTTTTTTGCCTTTCTGTCTGTCTGTCCGCAAGTCACGTTTGTTCCGGGCAATCGATTTCGACTGACTTTCACTGAAGGGTAGCTGACATGTCTATGTGTCACGCATTAAAAATAAGTAGCCTATATGTCCAGACGGACATATAGGCTACTTATTTTTAATGCGTGGACGAAGTCGCGGGCAACAGCTAGTACATACTACATAAGTTATTCATATGTTAACTAATCAGCCCCACGATATGGTATTTAAAAAACTAAAAAGTGCAGAGAGCATGGTATCTGTAATGACGGTGATACGGCATGTCTCTTTGAATGTGTCGCGAGATGGCGTCCTTTTCATGAAAAGGCATTGAAAATGCAGAGCTACTGCCAACGCTACTTCACTACTTAAATGTATCAGCATAATATGAACGTCTATAGTTGAAACTAGCTATTGATCGCGACTTCGTCCGCATGAAATTAAAAAGGTAATAAAGGAAATTAGCTTATGTTATTGATAACGTAGCTTTTTAATGGTAAAAGAATTTTTGAAATCTGCCCAGTAGTTTTTGAGTTATTTTAATACATACAAAAATACAAATATTTCCTGTTCATAATATTTGTATTGATTAAAAGAAATTTATATATAAAAAAATATTAATATAACAATAAAAATTTACTTAAAGTTTTCTACGGTGGCCGTTTACTGAGGACTTGGCAAGGTATATCAAATGAACTAACCCGTAGACATCCTTGTGAGTTCGTCGTCGTACTCCGTATCGAGGGCGCAGAGTTCCCCCAGTATGGCGTCCAGGTCGGCGTCCTGCGTATCTTCCAGGTTGGCTAGAGAGAAGCGGTAAGTGTCGATGCGGGGAGCCACTATCTCCAGCGGCCGCAGCGCAGACGCCTCGCTCGTTGCACTCAGACCCTGCAAGTAACATACTAACGTAAGCATTTTTAATTTTATATCATAAGGTGGCAAACGAGCAAGCGGCCACCTGATTAAAAATGGCAAAGCGACTGATCATAGACATCCGCAATTGCAGATGCGTTGGTTAATCTTTGTCGACGGAGGAGACGCACATAAAGATGATATTTCCCCTTCCTATGCGGACACCTTCAAATCCCCCATCCCTACCCATCCTTTCTTTATAAGTAAAGGTTGGTAAGATACAGGGACTAAAATTAGGTTACGTCACGCACATAATATATACACGGATAGCCTATAAGTAGTGGTATTTTATACGTATTTGATTTTCATCATTTTGTGAATAAATACAGTATTAACTAACAAGCAGTTTGAATTGAGCAAAAGCGAGTAAATAGATTTTGTTGCTTAAATAGTCTAGAGTGGTAAATAACACTCACAAACAGTACACTACCCTGAGTACTTCATATTTCTGAGTAATGATAACAGCTATTCATATTTATCTACTAGCTTTCGCCCGCGACTCCGTAGGCGTGTAATTAAAAAAAAAACAAAAGTGAGTTGCCTATGTGTTCTTCCAGACTATCGGCTACATTTATGCCAAATTTCATCGAGATCCGTTTAGCCGTTTAGGCTACAAACTCAAACATCCATCCTTCCATCCATCTAAACTTTCGCATTTATAATATTAGTAAGATTAAAACAAAGTCTGTTTAATGTTGATTTGATTCTTAAGGAATACTAAGTATTTATATGGAGAGGAATGGTTAGAGGTTAGTTAACACTTAATTAATTGAGGTCAGTACAATAACAAACAGAAAGTTCTGCTAAGAAAGCAATCTGTTCCAACGTAATTTTAAAGATAACTATATTTGAAAATGATTCATTAATTTAAACTATCGTTGATTCATATATTCTAGTGATATGTCGTGTGAATGCACTGTTTCTATAACAATCACCCTGTAGTTCAATATGATTATTCTATCGTAGATCTCGTTACGTCGCACAATCTCACTTGACCGGAATGAAGTTACAAACTTTCTCGTAACTCTGAGCACCTAACTACTGATAAAACTATAACAATTATATATTTTTATACCCGAAAGAGGTTAAATACTGGCTAAGAGAATGCACAGAAAAAAATGTAGAGTAAAATATCATCTCCCCTTCCCCTGCCAAGTCCACTTACTGTACTTGTTTACTGCGTACCCAAGGTTACTGCAGTGCAGAAAAATATTAGCACAAAACAGTCACAAACTGGTTAGTCCCATGTCATTTGTGTCAAATAAATGCATTTCCGTGTCGCAAACGACTTATAAATCATAAAAAATGTATCCTATAATAAATAAAGTTGTACTAATTCTTCGTATTTATAATTATGTATTATCTGTAGTAATATTTCTGTGTTAATAATCAATGCAATGTGTATTCACGGTATGAAGCAGGGCTTATTATGTGGAAGTGCGGGCACATAACGCGACAAAGGGAGTGCTGCGGCCCTTTGCCATTAACAATTAATTATCTTAGTGTGCAGTCAACATCACGGCACGTCACGTACACGTAGCGTGTCGTGTCGTGAGCGGAGGTGCATTGTATTCTCCCGCTCATTCCGTATGCAATTCATACGGCACCTCCTTTAAGGGCCCCGAATAAATTATACCCCATGTATTCAACGTTATAAAACGAAGATTATTAAAGTTTACGACGACTAACATCCGACAAATGTTGCATTTGTAGGTACTCCATGAAAAACTTAACGTTTACGAGTTTACGCCTCGTCGGCCAAAGTGGTTTGCGAGCCGCGATCCAATCGAATGTAATGATAACGTGCGAGTTATCGTTTGAAAAGTACTCGCGGGAAGTAGGTTAGGTCGGCGAGTAAATACAACGTGTGTTGCGTTGCATGGTACTTGTGTCGGTGCTTACCGTCGCTAGCATGTCCAGCGTGTGCTCGACTGCGGCTTCCGCAGGCGCGTCCGCAGCGGCCCTTGCCTTTCCGCTGCCCAGCCGCAAGCTCCTGTTCAGCGTCGACAGGAATCCGCGGTTCCACTTACTGGATTCCACTCTCAGGTCCATGTTTTCGTTTACATCGCTCCGAGGGGTGACTCACCGACCACCGCGACCGTGCCAAAAGGCCGGCCCGGTTTCCCCCTTCCGCGTCTCGCCCGCGCTGCTTACTCCCGTCCACACGAATTCGTCGGCGTTCATTAACACCGGGAACGGGATTTCGCTATTCGCTCGCCCCAAGTCGTGACGAAAACTTGTTATCCTGTGCGATGCGAGTAGAGTCGTTCCCTCCGCGATACCGCGAGCGTGCGCTACCCGCGTTACTTTACCACTTCTGTATAAACACAACGAAACGGCCTCGCCCGCTCACTTCGTACGATGACAATATTCGCAAAACTTTCGTTTTCACAATCGATCTAAGTGTAACAGGACAAAGAATGCGCGACTCGAGGCGACGTTCCACATGTACCGCACGCAGTCGCCGCTAGAACTAAACTAAACGGGCCCGGCCAGTCAAGTTGCATTGCAATACGAGCGGCGCGGGAGAGCGGGCGGTGGCAGGACGTCGCGGGTAGCGGCGCGGCGGAGAGGGGTACAGTGAGCACGGCGGAGGGGCGGGCGGGGGCTCGGCGCGGCGGAGGGGTACGGTGCGTCGCGGAGCACGTGCGTACGGAGGCGGCGCAATGTGTGCGGCGCGCGGCGTGCGCTGTGTGCTGCGCCACACACTGCTGCAGATGTTAACTTAGCGCCTATTTCCACTTAGCAGCATACCGCGCGCGCCCTTCTTTTGTATGGAGTCGCGTGTCCTATTCCACTGGGTCGGCGGCGACACCTATAGACCCGATAGTTGACTGGCTGCCAAGTGGAAATAGGCTGTATACTGTAGCAAGCAATTTCCGCATCGGGCCAACGCGTCAATCGGCAGCTAGTATGGAACTTATCAGTTTGATAAATATATCTTTGTTTTCTCACAAGAGTTTGTATTCACTGGATGGTACCTAAGTTTACCATTTGTTTATATTGAGTGAATAATCAAAATAACTATCATAAGTTTAAGCCAAAATTCATCCACCAGTACTTGAAAGTAAATTGGCGTCGACATGACTGAAGAAGCAACATTGAGTGGTTCATCTCGGCACCTTGCCCCCTCCACCCACCACCAATAATTCCCTACAACCTCGGTGCACCTCTCGGCATTACGTTCCTTAAGATCACTACACAGAACCAAATCGTACACTGTCGATAATATTGGAATGAATGTGTAGAAGATCCCCTATAATTGACGTCATCTGTTTAATCGAGAAAAATAACACGGGCATGTGTTGTTTTTGCCAGAGGCTCTGCTTATTATACGCCTCTGGCTTACTGCGTCCAATACAATCATAAACATTCATACGAATTATTCATATTGTCTGTCGTCCTGCGTAGCCAGGACCGCATTATGCATGGACTCAATAAATAAAAACATTGTTGTGACGAGGGGTGAGCGTGTCCTTGTTTTTGTTATCGATTGTACATGTTACAGTGACTGTTCGAATATCGACAAAGATCCAGTCGACCGGCTTGTTCTATCGCAATTAGACATTTAACGTATAAGTTTATTCTTAGAGCCCTGATAAGGTAATGCTGTTATCATTACTCTCTATGCCTGTGCCGGAGAAGTGACGCGTGCGGGGTAGGGACTGAATGAGCGCGGGGGGTGGCAGGTGCGCGCGCACTTCCGCCGTGCCTCCGTAGGCTGAGCGGTAAAAAAAATTAAGCAAAAAATTTGGTGTGGAACAGGTGGCGTTGGCCACACCTGCAGCCAGCCAGCCCCGGCCAGCCGGCCACCTGGCCACGCCGCATAATCACCGCCATTCAAATTTCGCTTTAACGGGAATCTTTGACATTGGGCCTATTAAATTATATTTACGAGCGCTGATTCCATCTTGACAGCATCTTGAGCCAGTCGCCGGCGCACCTGCCGCCACAGCCGACGCCCGCCTTATTCTTTATTTCTACTAATATTATCATATTATACCAATCAAAGTTTATTTGACCACATAATTTAAATGGTTTATTACCTTACCATTAACACATCCGAATTGCACTTCTATAGGTCTCATCATAATGCATAAAGTCAAGGTTTAACCCATCCTAAGTTGTCAGTCTAGAAAATTCCATAATTTCCGTTAACGTTATATGATCACAATTACCAAAGATAGCGGAAAGTGGCAAAAAATAAACGTTGAGGTCACCTTGGTAGGCAACGGTTTCGCATTACATTCTCCAACTAATATTACCGCGCGAAAGCATTATCGACATGTAACAACATAATACATTTTCACAAAACATGCTTATAACAATGATATATGAACGACAAACTGACGATTAATAAATTATGACTTCAAATTCGTCAAAAAAATACAAATTCATTTTAGTTACTAAAGCTATTATGATTTGCCTTTAGCAACAGAAACCACACTACATCAGTCTATTTCAGAAATTTCTGTTGAACATAGACGTGAAACTTTACAAGAATTTTCAATAAAAGAGACATTAAGAATTATCGAAACTGGTTGTGGTAAAGAGGGGATTAGTGTGAAGATAATCACATGCAATTTGCATTGAAACTGTTCCAAACACAATGGCCGACAGATGGCACAATAAAACAACCGACCAGTTTGCTGGATTTAAACTCTTCTCTAATATCTATATTATAAACTTTTCTGGGAAATGAAATGTAAAGAATCGTTCATAAAATGCAGGAAACCTGCTTAGCGTGATAACAATATTTTTCGCTGCTTTTATATCTGCTATAAAATTGTTTTAATACTTAGCTATGTTGATTTTTTTATTATTATGGTATTTTAAAATAATTCCATAACCATCACATGACAACATACTGTAGAAAAGAAAAAAATCATTTTACTAATATTTATACGAAAGTTTAGATGGATGGATGTATTTTACTATGTATCAACAAAACGCCTTAACATATCTAGATGAAATTT